CGTTCTCCTGCTGTGGTTCCTTCAAAATAAGCTCGGGTTTGAAATTTATCCTAATCTCGGTTTATGAAAAGCATCAGCAAATATCTTATGTGAATCATTTTCAATTTGTCACAATACATCAACGGGCGTGACGCTAACTGCCGATGAATGAGCGTTGACATAGAAAGTGCGGTGACTGTTGTTGACCGTGGAGCTCCAACGCGTTCGTTTCTTCGAAGAAGGATGCCCCAGAAGTATGTATAAGCAATAAGATCACCGTACCCTCGTACTTAGCTTAGCGTTACGATCTACGGCGGGCTGAGGAGATCGTTCGAAACCAGAAGCGGTTTTCGTCAAAGGTGTCCTATTTTCCATTCCTGTTCAATTGCTTCCTATACGAGATACCGGAGAACCCACTCAGTGGTCTCCAGAATGTTTGTCTTCGTTGTGGTCTACAATTGACGGATACGTTTGTCTTGCAGGCCTGTGACCCGACGGATTGATTGACAGATGCTGCCTGCTACCACACACGCCATACGGACTAACTCTATTCCAATATCGTTCGACTGTAACCAATCAGGTGTCAGTATTGGGTTGACTGCGTTGGTTGATTCGTTAACTGTTGGAACGCCTGCTTGAGCAGATGTTGGTCGTTTATGCATCCTCCCCATGTTTGACTTCTGAGCAACTTTTGCTTGAATACAACCTTTTTAACTTATTTTATTTAATTTTCTGTCATATTACCCAACATTGTGTTAGATGTCGATTGCAGGCACATTTGTTTTAATCTGTGACATTGACGCTATGATTGACCCTTCTAACTTGCACAAAATACTGAACCGAATTGAACGTTTTGCTTGCATTGAGTACTTACAGGAACGTGGATTGCTTCCTGAAGGAAATTTGTGTCTAGGCATATGATGTACGTGCGGAATTCTGTCATGGTTTATTAGGAAGGCTGATTTCCATTGGTTTAGCACAATGCAGCCTGAAGGTGAAAACGGCGATCCTTGGGCGACGTTTACATCAGAGTATAAAAATCATTGCAATCGATCAGCCATCTCTCGTTTGTTACTGTTTGTTTCCGTTTACCTCGGTTTTGAACAATACACGCGCACACGTTAATTTCATCCTTTTCGTTTCCCCGTAGCCCAATCCGAACACAGCTATTCGCCTCTCGGACCACGGTAGCCATATTCTAACCATGGACGACAGTACACGCTTGGCGATCCGGGACACCATTCTCAATTGCGTACAACCACTTGATACGTGCATCAAGATAGCCAACTAAACTGAAATTCGGGCATACACACACATGGACAGATCGATCCTCTGTTGTTTACATCCATAATCTGGGTTGATGACCATATTTCCCTTTGTCAAACATCTCCCCCATTTTCTCATTCTCACTGCCACATACGTTTCTTTTCCTACGATTTTTGAGTGTAACTTTATTTCAGCGAAGATGAACATTGTGACAGTGTTTTACATTCATTCATGCTCATATTAGTTTGTCAATGCGAGTTTCTCTGCCGCTTCACTCGGTAGTCCCCAAATTTTTTGTTTTGTCGGGCTAGTGCACTAACTGTTTTCTAGTGCAGTTACCTCCAGTTAGAATTGTTCTAAGCATATGCATTTGTCACGTTAGTGTCGCACAGTGAATATCAGGGGATATCAGATTTAGCTCCGTGCAAGGTGTGATCACACAGATAGAATCCTCTCCCTCCGTCAGACGTTAGTACTCCGCCCCGTAGTATATAGAGGACAAACTACTGTCGGTTTCTGGATTGATCTTGAACTCCATGGATTGACCCGGTCTGTGAATTTTTATGATACCCGGAACCCGACAACTACTTTCCAGTTCAATAGACTGAAACACGCCAGGGAATTTTTCGAGGCCCGGCACTCTTCAATGAACTCAATAAAGAGTCGCATCGAATTGTATTACGTGCACAAGCCAATGCAACTCAAGGACCAAATGACGCAATGACGGAAACCACAATCAGGACGACGGGACAACCTCTTCCCCTCCCACCCTAATGACTTTGCAAACAGATGCAATCCCAGGTGCGGACAATATACACCCGACACCCCTGATCTTTTTGGTGAATCACATCCGAACCGGTAGTCAGTCTGTTCCAGCGAAATGTTCGACTAACGAACACTCCTAGAATCGTGGTAAGTAGGAGTTATTTGGTCCATATAGAATGGTGGTTGTCGTAGTGACTCCGCGAACTACCGACCTGTAACACTGCTCTCGGTGTTATCAAAGTTGTGGCAGATTCTCTGATGGTACACCTCGAACGATACAACATTCAGCTCAACACGGGTTCAGGCAAAAGCGATCCTGCTCCATCAACCTACTTCTTGTTCGAAGTAAGTGGATCAGAACAGTCGACGAAGGGGTGAATGTAAATTATCCCGACTTCTTTTGATCGACTGAATAACCGAATCTTGTTGCAGAAGCTTTACAATTACGGCATTCCAGATTTCGTGTTTGATTAGATAAGAGCATTCCTCCAATAAAGGATCACATCAGTTCGTGTTTCTGATTTCGTATCCGGATTTATCAATGCCACCCGTGGTGTTCCACATAGATCTGTACTCTGTATCCTTCTGTTTCTCAGAGACGCAGAAGCTTCATCATTGAGATGGTAAGAGAAAGGTAGACTGTCGGTTTGAACGCCGCTGTCTACGCAGCATGGTATTAATCTGGTGGGGCAGCGGGACGATTAATGCGGAGGTTAGGTGTAGAGTTCTAGGTAATCGCGGTCGCCCACCGGAGCAAGTGTTCGACCTCCATAAATGTTGTTGGCTGGGCCCTCTTACTGGGGAAGTAACAGAGCAGACTGACAGATCTTCTATTTAGGCAGCCTTCTCTAACCTGACTTGCGCATCGCAAATGAATGGGCCATTGTGGTAACAGGAGAAAGATATACTGTCGTTTTTGAACATTGCTGTCTGCGGCGCATTGCTCGAGTCTGGTGAAAAAACGGAAAAGCAATGTTGAGGTTAGGTGCAGAGTTCTAGGTGATTGCGGTCGTCCACTGGAACAAGTGGACGACCTCCAAGGACTACGCATCTTAGGATGTGTTGCGCATGGCACTGAATAGTTTTTCACGGTGCACGATTTTCGCCGAAGCATGTGGTTGGCTGAAAAACCAAGAGCGATGAAAATAAGACCTGACACGAGGGAATCACCTAGGGGGTTGGTCAAAAACCCTGATTCCAAACCGACCAAGAAGAGGCGTACGAACCATACACACCTTCCCGGTTGTGGCACTGGTCACCGGCTCTTTTGGGCACCTTGGAAGTTTGACCCCGTCCGAAAGTCGTATGATCCGATGAACTGTACACCGGCCCACAGTGGATTGTGGTTTTCACACGCCGCTCCGCTACCTTGCGTGTCGGGTTTTGTCAGCCGAAGGCTCCCGTCGTGTATTCCTCACAAAAATTCGCCTTCCTTGGCCCGGGCAACTTGATAGTATTTCGCCCACATGCACACCATGGAACGTTTTCCTTTTATAAAGATTATCGTACCATGATTTGTTGGACACGGTCTAGCGTCAGGCGTGTGTAATACATATACATATATATATTTATATGACACTTTGGTAAACAACGATGTTGATTGTTGTTTTTGTAGCCCGGGTGGTATGATATGATGTTCAGTTGTTCGCCGAGCTTGGCAATTGTATTGCAAACGTTTCATCACCAATCGAGGTGACATTCTCAATGCAGTAACTGAGTGAGCGCTTACGAGTGTCCTCTTCCTTATATAGGTCATTGAGTGATGTGGCGTTCCCTGATTCGCCAAGGTTTGTTCGCCTTGTGCCGATAGG